GGTGCAGCGTCTAGGAAAGTGTAAATTCCCTAGGTAATAACCTACCAGGTGCGGGAGTTAAGTGTATATAAATATCTTGCGCTCGCTGTAATAAAATAGCAAACTCCATGTTTTGCCTGTGCGATTCTATTTAGCACTGACGCCAATATTTACTCGGTGTGCATCTTATCTTGTCTAATTTTTAAAACAGCCTGGGTGTATTCATTTTCATCACCCGGACAGATTCTTGGACCTCGCAACTGACATTCACATATCACAGAAAGGATAACTGTATTACCTCCTTAAAAACAATGTTACACTGTGTGCAATACCACAATCTAATAATTTATAAAATAAATTTGACATAATGAGTTAATAAACGAGAAAAAGTTAATTTCACGAGAGACAAATGTTTACGAATTTCGCGAGTCAGGAAAAGTCGCAACATTTTGTACCAGTGAACAATTCGCTGCAGGCCATAGCGGTTTTCACGATCATTTGACCAAGTGAACACTTTTACTCTCACTGAAATATAAAGGTTTACTGGCAGTAAATACTTACTCAAACTGATTAGAATTGTAATTATTTCTCTTTTTTATTTTTGTAATTGTCTGATCGCGAAAGCCCATTCACAGTCAGAAAATTTTTAAAAATAGAATAAAATAAGAATAAATTTGAAAAAAAAAATACTCAAAAAAATATTTAATTGAACAATTATTGAACCCCAAAAGATTTGATTTTAATCAGATTGATACTCATTGACTTTATAGCTGGAAAGAACTTGAAATTATCTCATTGGGAAAGTTTCAAGACAACCGTCTCGCTCACAATACATATGCATTACATTAAAAAATATAATTAGATATGTAAATATATGAACCTATTAATATATGTTTCTATCAACTATACTCTCTTAGTAATATGAACAGTGCTGGATATACGTGGATTTATTTCTTTAACTTTGAGAAACTCTTGATAACGGTCTTCACAGTAATTCATCGAGCACAATGATCTTCATTGATGGCTAATAGTCGACCTTCCTGTGGCAGGAAAAGTATGACCAGCTCATTTTTTATTCGCGCTGTCTTGTCTGTACATTTTTTATTTTCTTGAATGCAACCCCTGGATGCATTTTTTCTCTCTTGGTGCTGGATTTTTTTCCAAAAAATCTTCCAGTCTCCCCTCGTCCGACCTTCAAGTAGCCTGACAAGTTGGCGTAAGTGGCGCCCTGGACTGCTGCAATAGTGATAGTTCGGCTAACCCCAAGTGACCCCTCATGTCACCTGTGTGGGCGGTGTAGACAGATAGCAGACATGTATAATAGGTCCAGCGTTGCACTTTACCATACTCACAGTCCCTGGGACTGTGCCATGCTGTAATGTTACCATTCTGTAATCCATGAAAGTTAGACATTGTTTATATTGTATTTGCATCTACAAACTTTGCATTTTGTCAGTAAAAAAAAAAAAAAATCAATCAAGGACAAAAGCTCCCGTAAAACCAGTAGAACAAAAAAATATAATCTTTGCACCAATGAGCAATATTTGGTTGTACGTTGAGTATACAAAATAACGGATATTTTGAAACTATAATACAGAAATTTCCACGGACATTTGTTTTTCAAAAGTAAATTTATCTATATGATCGGCATATGTACGTACCATTGCTAACAAAATGTACATGTTGTGCAATACTTTTGACAACGTCATGTTTTCCTAGTAATAGTGAACACCTCGATTGCGAATGAGACAACTATTCCGTGAAATTATTTCCAGCCATAAAGCTGCCCGGACAGCTGACTAGTATCCCCCCCCCCCCCACTCAGGATCCATAGGGGGCCACATGCGCGTTACCATTTTCTCGGGAAAGAGGGTACTTTTTGACGATCTGTCTCGGGAACATTTTCCCGAGAAAATCGTAGAAAAGGGGATATTTTTTGCTTGTTTTCCCGAGATTCTCAAAATAGGGGGTGTATTTCAAAACACTTCCCGAGATATACAAAAAAGGGGGGTTTAAAAGGAGTTCTAGACTGAAAAGTTCCCTAGATAGGGGGTGAAATTCATCGGAAAAGCCCGTGAAAGGGGGGTTTAAATTTTCTTCTTTTCCCTAGATGGGGGGGGGGTATCAAAAAAAATGAGGGAACAAGCATAGGCCCCCCTAAATATAGGGAGTGGGGGGGGGACTAGTATAAACGAGTCAACAGAAGCAAATCACTTTATTTTCTTTCTTGAACTATCTAAAAATACTTTTGGTGTCACTTGGAAATCTATTGCATTATTATTTATTTGCCTTCGGAATTTCTCTGTTTTCGCTTTTTTTGTGTTCGTATTGTTATTCATGAGCATGGTGGGAATTCCCAGAAAATGTGACGTCGGGTTTAGGGGGGAAAACCCTTTATGCAAATGAGCTGCACTGTAGTTGTCAGACGCCCATGACCATTCACATTTGGTCGGCCATCCAGTTCTGTTAACAGAACTTTCGCTGACACATTTTAGCAAAGATGCAGTTACTGTACTTAACATCGATGTTTCGGTGAGTACCTCAGTAGTTTAAATCACTGACTGTTGTGTATCTTATCCGTAAGTGAATTGGCTGGGCCCGGCTGTTGTGTTGCTGTGTTGGTACTTTTTGTGTTTTTAAATTTAAAATGTCAATGACCGTGCATCCTCTGTTCCTCTGTTCATATGTTTTGGGCTCAAAAAATTTACGTCAAATTTGAATTGACTTGATACCCCTACATTTCCAAATCGATATTTGGTGACAATTCATGGTTTATCACCGTGACTTCCTTGATAGACGGCATTTCCGTGCAATGCCGGTGTGAAGATGACCCGGAGTGTCTGTTAGCTTCAGCCGAGTTCTGGAGCTAACATTCCCGGTCTTTGGGTCATGGGGGTTTCCCAGAACTGCAGCTAGTCGGAATGTAGTTTATGTTCACCCCCCCGTCGATGCGGTTAAAAACGTTCGGGGGCTTGCGACACATGCGGCCTTGCGGGCCCAAGAATATGTCTCTAGCAAAGTTGACAGCGGTGTTCTTTCAGCGGTGTTTGTTGTAAAAATGACTATTTAATAATGTACAAAACAAATCATATACAATATTAAAATGTCCACAATATGAATATCGCAATGTTAACACATATCGACAGAGTTATGCCAAAGTTGTATGGGGGGGGGGGGGTTAGCTTGTACAGGTTACAGGGAATAAAAACCGCATTTTACGTTTTAACAGGGAATAAAATGAAACTTCCATTTACAGTAAAAAAAAAAAAAAGGTTTTTACACTTTAAAGATAAAGCAAATTCCTAATTACATTTAACATTTTTATAATATTTTTGATAATTTGTGAAGAAGCAAAATTGGAAATTGCGCACAGATTACGACATTTAATTTTGAAAATGCTTTATACGTTTACAAAAAATATCTTTGTACAAATTACGGACGAATAAAATAGCTGATTACATTTTACACCTTGCCCATGTCTACAAATTTACTTTTTTATTTATTTAAATTACATTATTACGAAAATAAAAACAATTTATTATGTAGCTTACGAAAATACCCCTTGCCAATCCTCTTGTATCTTTTATCAAGGAATGAAACAAAGCCATGCATGAATTGGACTACAAAATTTAATTTAACATACAATACAAACTTAGAATACAAAAAAAGACGACAAGCTGATCAATCTGAGCAACGTACAGCATAGCTGCTCTTTCTAATCGATAAATTGATATATGTGCTTTGCCAATACATCACAGGATTCTAGTAATTCTAGTATTACAAACGGGATTACAAACTAGAGTGAAAACCACTTAGATTCAATCATGATGAGAGTTGACAAAATCATTTTCAGTTTCAACAAATAGGATGTATGATTTTGAGTTCAAAATAAAGTCACATAGCAAAAGAATAATTGACTCCTAAGAATGTTCTACATGTGAATACAAAGAATTAGTATTTGATCACAAACATACAAAATTCATTTGAGCACCCTATCAAACATAGTGGAACTGATACATGTAGTTATAATCTTTTTGGTATTTGAGTCTAATATGATCATACCGGTAACTGTAATTTGGGGTAAGAAAATGCAAGTCAAGCAAAAATGTTATTATTTTTCTGATGTAGTATTGATCACAAACATACAAAATTCATTTCACATTTGAGCAACCTATCAAACATAGTGGAACTGATACATGTAGTTATAATCTTTTTGGTATT